CGACCTACAGTGTGGAAATGGTCCAGGCCAACGTAAAAAGTGCCTGGAGCGTCGATGTGAGCTACAAGAAGGCGTGGCACGGGAGAAAAAAAGCCATCGATCGTCTGTATGGCATGTGGGAATCGAACTTCGCACAACTCCCCCAGTAAGCAAAAATTAATTACCAATGTAGTTACGTGTTTGTAGCTATATTTATTTATTTATTTATTTATTTATGCATACCTTTTTATAATTTTCAGGTTTTTTGTTGCCCTTCAAAGGGCGAATCCCGGCACAGTCGTTGAGTGGGAATGGCAGGATGGGGAAATGGCTCGTCGTTCTCGAGACAGAGAATTCAAATTTGTCTTCTGGGTGTTTGGGCCCGCCATTCGAACCTTCCATCTTTGCCCGCCGATTATTAGCATTGACGGCACGCACCTGCGAGGTTCGTACAAGGGGAATGTACTTGTTAATTGCAATTGTATTTTCTATTTTCTAACATACAATAGTGTCTGATAAAAAAAAAAAACATATGTCAAACTGAGCAGGTTCGTACAAGGGGAAGCTGCTTGTTGTCATAGCACAGACCGCGAATAAGCGTCTATTGCCAGTCGCGTATGCGATTGTGGACGAAGAAAGCACGGCTAGCTGTTTTTTCCTAACACATATGCGCAATCATGTTCTCTCCGACAGGCAGATATGTCTTCTTTCCGACAGGGACAACGGCATATTGAGTGCCGTTGATTTACTGGAGGCTTGGCACGAACCCCATGCATTTCATCGGATATGCCTTCGACATCTCCGGAGCAACGTGGTTTCAAGGTATCGGAGTAAGAAAGTCCGGGTTCTGTGCTGGAGGTTGGGTTCATTGTGTTCTCGTCGCAAATTTGATCATGCTCGACAACAACTGCAGGAATGTCACCCGGAAGCATGCAGTTACCTTTTCCAAATTCCTTTGGAAAAGTGGACCCTGTACAGAGATAACAGACGTCGATGGGGCACTCTGACAACCAATATGTCAGAGAGTTACAATAACGTCCTCAAAAGTGTTAGGTTCCTGCCCTGCAGAGCATTAGTACAGGCGACAATGGACAAGACTCTGGATTTGTTCGAACAGGAACAAAAAAAGTCCAGAAGCTGTCGGAGTCAAATTTCTACCCAGCTCTATGCCGCCTATCTGGAGTTGGAGAGGACAGCGGCAACTCACGAGGTGGAATGTGTGGACGCCGACGAATCCCAGTACACGGTCATAACTGGTCTACGTGCCAGTGGAAGGGGGCAAAACAAGTATGTATTTTTTATTATTTTTTTCCATTGAAATGATTTTTTTTTGTGTGTTTATTTATATATATAAATAATTGTGAAAAACAGGTTTAAGGTTCATTATGAGCAGATGAAGTGTACATGTCGGAAGTGGCAGACATATCGGAAACCATGCACTCATGCATTAGCCGTGTGTCGTTACCGGGCTGATGAACCGAAGTTGTTGTACGATTCCCACTTTTGGACGACGAACTCGGTTGATCAATTTTCTAATTGGAAATTTTCTCCAATTGGAAATCCTGACAAGTGGCCGCAGGTGGGATGAAATTTGATTCCACATTGGCAAATGATCATCTCGAAGCCTGGACCCGGTCGCGCCCAAACGAGATGCTTTAAAATGCAAATGGATCGTCGGGCGCGCCGCAGAAGGGGCCAAGATCAATGCAGTAGATGTGGTGATCCCGAACATTTCACGGACCATTGCCCGTATTTGCATCCTCATGTGGATTGAACTCGACTCCGTGATGATTGGGGGAACTAGTTGTTTTGTATGTATATTGACTGATATGGGTTTTTTGAGATTAATATTTTTGTATTCGAATGACTTATATAATGAAATGGAATTGTTATTGTAATTTTTATTTGTTAGTGTGAATTTGATTTAGTTGGTTGTTTTAAAAATGTAATCAGGACGAATAATTGCAAAAACAGGTGCATTTGATCAAAAATGTGATTTTTTGTTGTCTAAAAGACTTACTTTTTTAGGGTTAATATGCTTGCACAATGTAGAGAACATTAACAACTTGTATCATATTGGAAGTGTTCTTGTGCTTCATTTTGCTTTGTTGTTGTGATTTTAATGTGATTATTAGATAATGACATCTTAATTGGTTTCTTATTTGAACTTATACGCTTTCTTATATCTATTGACTTGTTTTTTTTTAATGTAGAAAATAGCATCTTCGTCGTCCTCACAGGCTCGCCGGTACAATGTACAACCCGGTCCGATTGACGGGTCGCTTCTGTATCTTCATACCCGCCACCGGGCCAAGGCGGTATATGACGATGTACAAGGCTATCGTAACGGCATTATTACAAACCGCCGGAACGACAGTGAGTTCTGGCCCGCATTGGAGAAGCATCATGATAAAGTTTGGGAGCAAATCGACATGGCAGGTTTTGGCCCGGTGTTTCGGATGGGCCGGATAACAACGGACAACAGCCTCATCACCTGCCTCGTGGAAAGGTGGCGTCCCGAGACGCATACCTTCCACTTCGATTGTGGGGAGGTCACAATAACGCTGCAGGACGTTCAAGTCCTATTTGGCCTCCCGGCCAATGGAGAAGCTTGTTGGGGAAGGACTGCGGATACGACTCCCCAGCAATGGCGAGACATGTGTGTTGACTTGCTAGGGTT